CAAAAGTTAGTAAATACTATTTAAATAAAATTTGATTTTATTTAAATATTACTAAATGTTGATTATTTTATGCTAAAATGTTTAGTATAAATATGTGCAAAATTGTTTTGCATTTAAGTGAGGTTTTGATCAAAAAAAAAAATTTCTAAGTGTTAGAAAGAGAAGAAAGTGTTCTTCATAAAACTTCAAGAAAGAGTTCTTAAAATTCCCAAATAAAATTCATAAATATTCCTATACAAGAAAACCGAGTCTTTTCTACTAGCGAAGGAAAGTCGTCGGAACCGGGCTTCATATGGTGGATACGTTTAGAGGGAAGACACTTGGATTCCTCTAGCGAGTAACCTCAAGTCGTTGAAGTTACAACCGGGAACCGATTCCCTCATCCATCATCAATAGTGAAGGAGTTCAAGACATTCGGTAAATATTTTTTACTAGTATTTACTTTATAGTAACAAATCAAAATTTGTATATGATGCATGTTTTAAAGATGACGATCAGTTAATTCGCAATTAGTATGTACGGGTGTTGTATTTATACGATAAATACTTACTTTAAAAATTTTAAATTCCGCTGCGTACAGCCCGTACGGTACTAACGAACCCAACAAAGGGTATGTTTGATGAAGTAAGAATGAAAGAGGTCTTTGGGTTTCATTGCAGTAAAGGTGGGGTTAATGATTGTTCTGATTTAATGGTGCTTGAAAATGACTCTGATGTCCTAAATATGGTAAATTTTCTTGATGTGAATAGAATGGTTGGGATTTTTGTTGAGCATGAAAAAATGGTGGATCAAGATAGTCAGTGGATGAAAGATTTTGTGGGTAGTCCATCTCATGATCTACCAACAGTAGATGAACCTTTACAATTTGTTGGTGAGAATGTGGAAAACATTGATTTAAATGTCAATATGGTGTTATCTGATTTAAATGAAAGTGATGATGATCGATCTGTTGGGCCAGACTCTGATTTTTCTGAAAGGTTCTTGAATAGTGAATGTGAACAAGCTTCTGATGATGATGAGTTGTTTGACTTGCATGTTGATCAAGAGGTTGAATGGGTTGGGGTAGACTTGAATAATCCCGAAGTGAAAGTACCTGAACCTGCAGAGAAAAGTAGCAAGCCAAATAACTTATTTAAACTACATAATGGTGGTCCTGTTTTTGATCCTAGCACAGACATGGTCAACCCTGTTTTTGAACTAGGAATGCAATTTAGTGTACTACAACTTTCAGAAAAGCAGTTAGGCAGCATGCAATTAAACAAGGAAGGGACATATCTTATAAAATTAATGAAAAAATAAGGTCCAAGTTAGGTGTAAACATGAATCTTGTCCTTGGTTAGTTTATGCTCTAAAGGTGAGAATGAAGACACAATGATCATTAAAACTCTGTCAAGTAAGCACAATTATCCTAGGGAACAAAAGGTGTCACATGCTAATGCCTAGTTTATTGCTGAAAAATATAAAGAAGAAATATGGACAAACCCTGGGTGGCCTATAGAGTCAATGATGTTCATCTTGCAAAGGGATTTATCTCTAGTATTTTATAGTCAGCAACTCGATAAAGCTAAAAGACTTGTGCTTTCAAAGGGTGTTGGGGGTGATGTTGAGCAATACACCATGTTATGGAGTTATGCTGAGGAGCTTAGGAAAACCAACCCGGGGACAAACATAAAAATTAAATGTAAGCTTCAGGGTGACCATGCAGTGTTTAAAAGGTTTTATATCTGTTAGGGGGCATTAAAGAGAGGACTTTTAGAGGGATGTAGGCCAGTTATTTTTCTTGATGGCTGCCACATTAAAACTGCATGTGGGGGGGTTCTTTTGACAGCTGTTGGTATTGATGGGAACAATTGTATTTACCTTTTTGCTTATGCTGTGGTTGAAAAGGAAAAAACAAAATCTTGGTGTTGGTTTATTGAGTTACTAGTGCAGGATTTGGGGATTGAAAATCCATTTCATTGGACAATCATGTCAGATAAACAGAAGGGTTTGGTTGAGGCAGTTGATAAACTTCTTCCAGGTGCTGAGGTAAGGTTTTGTGTCATGCATTTGTATAAGAACTTTAAGCTTGCACATAAAGGCCTAGCCCTTACGAACCTGCTTTGGAAAGCTGCAAGGGCCACCAGAGTCTTTGATTTTGAAAATGCAATGAAAGAACTGAAACAGAGAGATCATGATGCATATGATTGGTTGGCTGAAAGCCCCCTTCCCAATGGTCAAAATCTCATTTCAGCACTCATTCCAAATGTGATTTTTTGTTGAATAAGCCGTCAGAGTGTTTCAATAGCATGATTTTGAGGGCTAGATCAAAGCCTATTATCAGTATTCTAGAATATATTAGAGTGATGCTCATGCAAAGGATGCATAAAAGAAGAGATATGATGTTGAGTCATACTGGGGACTTTTGTCCTAAGATTGAGAAGATACTTGAGATGCATAAGAAAAAAGCTATGGACTTCATACTACACTGGAATGGGAAAGATGAGTTTGAGATTGAGGGGTATTTTGGCTCAACCAATAAAGTGCACCTTGGAGACAAAACATGCAATTGTAGGAGGTGGCAGTTGAATAGAATTCCATGTTCACATGCCATTAGTGCCATGTATTACCTTGGGCATAAGCCAGAAGAATATATGGATATATGCTAAAAAAAAAATACTTTCTTGAAGGCATATCCATTATGATGGGAGCATTGAATGCTGTTGATCTGTGGCCTAAGGTAGATTTCACCCCACTCATGCCACCTGTTTCCCAAAAGCTTCCAGGAAGACCCAAGAAGTATGCTAGAAGGAAAGAAGCAGATGAAAATTATTCCCAAAAGTCTTCTCACACACAGACAAAGGCAAGTGGAATTAGGTTAAGGAAAAAAGGAGCCATCATGAAATGCAGTGGGTGTGGAGGTGTTAATCACAATATTAGAGGTTGCCCAAGTGCTAAAGATAAAAGGAAAAAGGAAATCCCAGCTGCACATGAGATTAATGCCCCTAGTGGACAGGTATTTCTTTACAATTTGTTGTATTTTGTCAAATAAATTGAATTAAACCTATGTTCTATGTTTTTTAAGTCCTTCACTTGCCTTGTTTTGTTTCATGTCAAGGAAAGGCCATTCAATGGAGATGGAAAGGGGAAAAAACTTGTAGCAAAAAGGAGCTCCAAGAAAAATGTGGCCAGCAATCAAACAACAAGTTCTTACTTCATTCATGAACATTGTAACTTTTGGTTTTGATGATTTGCAAGTCTAGTGAAGTGCTTATTTGTTCTGTTGGAAGCTAGTTTTGGAATGAGAAACTATTACAACATTGACTTGTGGTGTAAGCTTATTTGTTCTGATTGGTGTAAGCTTGTATCAAACACTTGTGGTACTTTTGGATTTTTTATGCAATGCATTTGTGAAGCTTTTGAGTACTCAATTTTCTTTTATTTTAAACCTTATGCTGTACTCAATTTTATTTATTTTAAACCTTATTATGCATATTCTTGAGGGTGGTACAGGGTTTTTTCTGGATGGATCTTAAGTGAAGTGTACCAGGAGTTGGATTTGAAGAGCTTGTGAAAGATTGTGTTGGAATGTTGATTTACCTAATTTTAATAAACTAAGTTTGTGAGTTAATCAGTTGGTTTAAAGCTACTTGACATCATTTGGTGTAGGCAATGCTTTGTTTTTATGGAACATAATATTGTATATTACTGTGTCATGTGATTGCCAGGGCTGTACTCCTTGGAAAAGAAGTAGAATCATACACAAAAACTCCAATGGCTATAGTAAAAATGATGGTGCCTCTGTGCTATTATGTCAAAATTCCCTTCATTCTTGTTTGTATTACTGCTAACTGTTAGTTTTGTTCCATATTCATTACAAAGTAATCATATAACCATCCTCAAGGGTAGTAGAAACACCCATCAAAGAGAACATTAAAACCGGAAAAACCAAAGGCAAAATGAAACAGATGCATATTCACTACTCATTGTTCACACTTCCCAACACCATTGCATTAGATTAGAGAAAAAATTACCAACACCATTGCATTACCAACACCAGTATACCATTACACAAACATCACATGAAAGAAAAAAGGGACTTCATTGCATTAGAAAAAAGGACTCAATCCATGACAGATACATATTCATTACTCATAGTTCACTACTTGATTGCATTAAGAAACAATTACATACTCATTCTACATATCTTCTACTACATTTACTACTTCTACTTAAAGAAAAAAACATCATCAACCATGAAACAATTAAAACAAGCCACAATATTTTCTCCCTGCGACGTCCACGACATACATCACCCTCAAGCATGCTCACTCTTTTCACAAGGCCGGGAACAATTTGTCGAACCCTTGCACAAATCGGCAGATCAATCCAACAACGGTATTACAACCTCCAACTTCCTAGTTATCAAGAAAAGGAAAAATGCATCACCAATTTCAAGCTTACAAAAAGAGGGGAAAAAAATCATACATAAATGTGGGAGTAAATAATTGGATAAATTAAAAAAAAAAATTAGGAGTTTCAATAAAATTCTGTTTCTGAAAATGTGTAGTTTTTCAACATCGATGATAAGCAAATTGGACTTACTCGAAAATTCTCGCAAGTTGAGTACCGTCTTCATGAATTCATGTCGGTCCAAGAGGTCTTCTTCACAGCACTTTTCTGACAATGACAAAAATCATCCATAATAAATTCAAATGTTTGTGTCCACATGATTTCACTTCTTCACAACACTCTTTTTCACTGATTTTGAAGGGATTTGAAGGCAGAATTTTGGAATTTTCAGAGCTGAGTTCTTAAGATTTGAATGTTAGGGTTTGAAGAAGGAATTGGGAATTTAAAGATGGGAATTAACGGAGAACGAAACGAAAGACTGATGGAGGAGGGTAATGAAAAAAAACTTTAAGTTAAGGAGGTAATCAGATGAGAAATAATGTTTAGGAGGCAAAATGAAAAAAAATTAGGAGACAAATAAAAATTTTCCCAAATTAAAATCCAGGTTTGTCCCCTTATCCTTCTGCACCTAGATGAACCTTGCGAAATCCTCTTCAATGGCATCCCATTAACCACCCCCCACCCACCCCACACCCCCACGCAACTCAACATCTCATCCCTAACCCCGACCCATTATGGAGGAATAGTAAAGACCTAAGCTTTTCCCTTTTGTCCTTCTCGTTTCCATTTGTTCACTTCGTCGTTGTAAATGGAGCTGCACACACCATTATCGTCGCACTTCAAACCAGACCTATCCTTCTCCTCCTCCTTTTCATCGTCCTTCCCCTTCCGAACCCACTTCAAAAAAACCCACAAAACCCCCCGAAACCTCCGCGTCCGGTCGGTTGCCGCTGACCCGAAAGAACTCCCTCAGAACAGCCCCCAGAGGCTGCTAAAAGAGCTGGCCGAGCGCAAGAAGGTAGTCTCCCCCAAGCGAGCAGCTCCCCCAAAGCGATTCATCCTCAAACCTCCATTGGACGACTCGAAACTCGTCGACAGATTCCTAAACAGCCCTCAATTGTCCCTTAAATCCTTCCCCTTGCTGAGTTCTTGTCTGCCTTCCACCCGTCTGAACAATGCCGACCGCACGTGGATAGACGAGTACCTGCTCGAAGCCAAACAGGCCTTGGGTTACCCTCTCGAGCCTTCGGATAGCTATGGAGATGATAATCCGGCCAAGCAGTTTGATACCCTTCTCTATTTGGCCTTTCAGCACCCGCATTGTGAGAGGACTAACGCAAGGCACGTGAGGTCGGGACACTCGAGGCTTTCGTTTCTGGGGCAGTATGTGCTTGAAATGGCGTTGTGTGAGTTTTTCCTGCAGAGGTACCCGAGAGAGTCTCCGGGGCCCATGAGGGAGAGGGTTTATGCCTTTATTGGGAAGAGGTTCTTGCCGAAGTGGATCAAAACTGCAGGTTTGCAGAATCTGATCTTTCAGTATGATGACATGGATAGGCTGATTCGGAAGGACAAGGAGCCTCCTGTGAAGTAGGTTCAATGGTGCTTTGTTTTGGTGTTTTGAGATTTGGAAAGTTTGATTTAGTTTATGTGGTTTTTTGTTATACCTGCCGTTTTGAGAATCCTGGTGAAGTTTGCGTGGAGTGAATGCGGTTTGAGAAATTGTTGTGAGCTCAGGGTTGGATTGGAGTATTTTGTCCTCTAGGAATTTCAGATTTGTGAAAACTGAAAACATAGGAGTAGTTCGACTTTTGGATATCCCTGTGGAATTGTTAATTAAAAACAAGCTAAATATATACAGGTTTATTAAGGAACATTGTATATGATGGTGTATATCTTCGCAATATGATCTTTATCATGGTTAATGAGTAGATGTGGATACTGTTATGTATTTAGTCTGGTATGTTAACATTATGCAATCACATAATAATGGAGTTTTGGCAAGTTGAGGAGAGTAGATGAATTCATAGTTGGCACTACCAATCCAGAGAAGTAAAATCACGACAGGTCTATAAAGAACAAAACAATCTTTATATATTTGTAGTTCCATCCATCTTTGCTGTTAAAAATAAGCAGCATGGATTTATTTGTAGCTTTATGGTCTTGTTGTTGTGAATACATTCATGCTATTACCGAATCTATGATCTTCCATATTCAAGTTCTTGTGATTCTTTTTTTTATTCATTTTTCACTTCATTCAGTTTCAACTTCTTATACTGAACTTGAGAGTACAGTTAGTCATGAAAAGCACAGCATATTGGATCAGTATGTACTGATCGGTTCATAGTATACTAACATTGCAAGTATTATTATGGCAGATCTGTGTTTTGGGCTTTGTTTGGGGCAATATATTTGTGCTTTGGAATGCCAGAAGTGTATCGTGTTCTTTTTGAAGTGTTTGGAATGGACCCAGAGGCTGAAGATTGCCAGCCTAAACTGAGGAGGCAGCTTGATGATGTTGACTTTGTTTCTGCTGAGTTCGATAATCGCAAACTGACTTGGCAGGATGTTGCTGTTTACAAGGCAATCACTAATTCATTTTCAGAGTCTACATTTTATTTATTTTTTGTTGAAATAATTACTAGCTTTATTTGGGATTTCCATTTGCCTTATCCTCTCGTCTATGTGATTTTACACATTTTTCTTCTAAGGTTGAGGGAGTTCTCTTTCCAGAGTAAAAATAGGCATTTCTTTTTAGGTAGAATAAAGTTAATATTCGTTAGAACCTCAAACATGCTGTGAACTTTTATCTACACAAGAAATTTACAGTTAGGATTATGAAGTATCGGACATGGCCACCTGGGAGCTCATTTTCTAACATGGCCACCTGGGAACTTCTTTTTTATTTATTTATTTTTGTAGGGAAATAGCAAGACTTAATTTTTCATTAGGATTAAATTCGGGAATATGTTCAATACCAGGTGGCATGCATTTAGTATTGTTAATGATGAATTTCCAATGAAGACTATTACTTTGAGAAAACCAGTATCGAACTAACTCATTGTTGAATTGACATCTAACAGCCCCCGGAAGACGCACTATTTGCTCATCCGAGGCTTTTCAGAGCATGCGTGCCACCTGGCATGCATCGATTTCGGGGAAATATATGGGATTATGACAGTAGGCCTCAAGTCATGAAAACGCTTGGGTACCCTTTGTCTATGGTGGACAGAATTCCTGAAATCACTGAAGCTAGGAATATCGAGCTTGGACTTGGTTTACAGGTATTTTCTGAACCCGTGATTTATGGTAACTATCTGTTCAAATCACTGATTGTTTGGCTTTATAACTGTAATGAATATATTTGTTTGTAATGTCCTTCACCCTTTAGCACACTGAGGCCGTGCTTGTTTATCAAATTTCTAGAAAAAAAAAAACTAGAAAAAAATCTATTTCAATTCAAAGTTTAACTCAACTTTAACTTAACCCCACTATCCTCAATATTATCAATATAATTAAATAATATTATTCAATCATTGTTACACCACGTCAACTTTAATTAACTATTCATCCACTCACATAATTTTAACTAACTATCATCATTTATCTCATACTTTTACATCAAATCAATTTTAGTTATTTTATTTTAAATATTATTTTATTACAAACTTAAAATCCGACTAACAACTAACCATACTAACTTTTTTCAAATAAAAAATCAGTTTTCTCTAGCTTTTTTTATAAACAAGCACAGCCTGTGTGATTGCATCATTGTGCATTTCCACTACAAATTATTTCATTTCCATTCGCAAACCAGAATTCTCATCGTCACTCTTCGAATCGAAATACAGCTGGCTTTCATGCACACATCAAAACACAAGTACGAACATCCCAGGTTTTGCTTCGAACGCCTGGAATATGTTGGTCAAAAGATCCAGGTATTAATTATGCTATCGACCTATTACCCAAGTGTCAAAAGTTGTCGACTCAATCGAAAACTCTCAATTTTTCAACTTTCCATGATTTGCTCAACAAACAACTATATGACTCAGTTTCTCCTTTTTTTTTTTTTCTCTTTACCTTGCCCACAGGATCTTGTAATGGCCGAAAGGCTACTGATGAAGCATCTAGATGCTCCTGGAAAATGGCTACAGGAAAAGCACAGGCGTCTAATGATGAACAAGTTTTGCGGTAAGTACTTGAGAGAGAAACATCTCCATAGGTTCATTATATACAGTGACGAGGTGCAAGATGCGTACGAGCATAACCGGAGGCTGAGAAATCCGGCCACCACATCAGTTCAACAGGCCATTCATGGAGTTGCCTACACTGTTTATGGGAAGCCTGACGTGAGGCGGCTCATGTTTGAGCTTTTCGACTTTGAGCAGATTCAGCCCAAGCCCGTGTGAGAATCGGACAAGTTTGTTGAATTTAACAGGATAAAGTTGATGATGATGAGAATGAGCAGAAATGTTTATACAGAATGTTATGTTTCTGCCGAGTAGAGGGTTACATAGTTTTTCTTGATTATTATTATTAGGATAAATTGAAATAATATTTCTGGTGTGTAGAGTATTTGTGACGAATAATGTTTTGTTAATGATTGTGATATGATGATGTTCAGTTAATTTTTTGTGCGAGCAGAATTATTGAAAGACGTTCATGGAAGAGCATCCAGACAAGGATAAATGATTTTTTATTTTTTTTTTCCTTAATGTTTTTTTCATGATTTATACATACAGGGACCTTACACTTGATCCAAACTGTTCTAAATTTAGTGTGATTGTAACTTCTGTAAACATTTTAAAATCTATTACCAAGATCATAAAATTCAAAACAAATTATCCAATAATTAGTTGAATCCAACCACAAGTTTGGCTGCGATTAATGCAACTCATGAGTCTCTTATTTCAAGTGACCCGTCATTGATTGCCGACTCGAACATAGAAAAACAAAGCAAAGGATTGACGAGCTTTATATCATTAATCATGAGTCTCTTATTTCAAGTGACCCGTCATTGATTGCCGACTCGAACATAGAAGAACAAAGCAAAGGATTGACGAGCTTTATATCACAACCGATGGAGGAACTTGTAAAAAACGATTCCTACACGGTATCGAGAGTTATGGCATAGCACAGGTAGCTTCACGTATCTTTGTTTTACCTTTTTATTCCCATTCAAGTGGTATTGCTAGAGCTCAGAATTTGGATTTTGTGGTAATTTTTAGTGTTTCAGTTTATCTATTTATCTGTGTTTGAGTTTGTGGAATCTTTGTATTTTTCTGTCCATTGAAGTTTCTTGTTAACAATCATATTTTTATTTGTAGATATACCAGAATTTCCTTTTTATAGTCCTAGCCCACTCCTAGCGTGTTCAAAAACTCGACCGCGAACTCGAACGGCGCTTTTTGAAGCGCCCTTTCCCGCCACACGTCGCCAGCGAAGCACATAAGGTCCTTGCTCGCGAGGCGACACTTCCCAATTAGGCCCAACGAGGAACAACAATCGCAGAATAAGCGATTACGGCAGAATAAAAAGTCTCACACTCTTGCAAAGGCAAAACCCCGAACAAGATCCTGATTTTGCAGAAGATGAAAAGATCGACATGGGACGAGATGCTGGTCGAAGATGAGTTTTGATAGTGATGAACAAAGTCAACAAACTGAAAATAATAATAATAATATAATAATAATAATAATAATAAGGAAGGACATCCGTATATAGTCTGTATATTTTCCTATATAGTCTGTATTGCGAGACTATTGTATTGCGAGAAAAATATATACATGGAATATATACAAAATAACATACAATACTTATACAAAACAGAATATATACACGTTATAGACATAGACATCGACAACTAATTTGAAACAAAATCTGAGATCTGATTATTCCGTGATATTTCATGATCAGCTTGTTCACCCCAGCCCGAGTTTTATCCGGTGACTTGCGAGCAGCATACAACCACCCTCGCACCTTCAGACAAGTACGACAACATTGCACAACCTCAGCCGTTTTGCTCCTCCTCTGTGCAGCGCGCGACCGACGGGATGCAGTCAACGTCATCCGGCCCTCTCAAATCTGATATCCAGACACCTGCGAAAAACTCTTATATATACCGAGAGATTTCAATATTCCCATCCAAAGTACATCCAACTTTTACTCTTCGGTAAATAACGTTTGAGGGCTAATCGAACTAGAAATTTGAGTTGAATTAAAGGATTGACCCAGTCAAATATTTTGATTTAGTTGTTTGATAAGTTGCGGCTTGAATTAATTGAGGGCTTGAAATAATCAGCAAAAAACAACCAAATACTAATGATCTAATTCAATGGCTAGTCAGAATGCTAAATCAATCATCTAGTCACTATGAGTTATCTTAGCTTAGGGGCGGACCCACATAAAGGCCCGCAGTGGCACGTGTCCCTGTGGTATAAGAACTTTCATTATATATATATATACATATAATACATATCTTAAGTCTCTATATTTAAGAAGAATCAGTTGTTGCACTATTCATTTCTACAATATTTTATTTAGTTGTTAACCTCAATTGCTGACACCTGTTAAAATATAGGCAAACTTCCAATTTTACCCTTGGTTTCTAAGAAACCTAAACATGCTTCCATATTCCATATTGTTTCTNCTGCTCCTTGCGGGCTTCCCCCATTTTCTACTCCAGAAAAATAAAGTTAAAAATAAAGAATTTTAATAACCAAATTGGCCGTTAAATTCGAGAATTTCAATATTTTATATAATTTTTTTTTCTGCTACTTGCGTACTTGTATCAATTTTCAACAATCCAAAAAAACACAGTAAAAAGTCCAAATTGGTCGTTAAATTCGAGAATTTCAAGTGATTACTTGCATCAATTTTCAATACTAAAAAAAACAGTAAAAAATAGAGAAGTTTCGCTCCCCAAAATCTATCATTAAAATTAAAAATTTTCAACAAGAGGACCGAAATACGACAGAAAAAAGGGGTCGATCTATAGATTCAACGCAACACAACCTTAAAATATGGCGGGCGCGGCCGCACCGTCTTTCGAGAGGCAGCTCGACGGGGCTCGCCGTCAGTTAGAAGCGGACAGTCGGATAAAATGGTACGTGACTCTTCATTTTGAAATTTTGCTTGCTACATTCGTAAATTGCTTGAAAATTAGTCTAATTTACATTCCCCTTTTTAACTTATTTTAGTTAGTCAATTGATTTCTTAAGTTGTTTTCCTATTTCAGAGATTCAAGAGTTTTGGCTTGCTGATTTCGAAAAAAGCAAAAGGGAAGATCATTTTTTGCCTTTTATAATTTTCTCTGTATTGTTGGTTGTAACATATACTTTTTTCGGGCTAAGAAATATGGAAAGGTAACACATAATTATTTCGAGCTTTTTAATTTTACAAAGACCATTTGATGCAAGCATTAAGTTAAGCATTAGCTTAAAAAGTGCATCTAACTCATCTTAGACATGGCTGGAACAAGATTACATATTTTTAAAATTGATATATGAATAGATGAAGGAATTAGATTTAAGTTTTTTTTATTCACAAGATATGATAGTTGGATGTGACTATTCAGTTATTGGTATTTGGTCAAGAGAGCTGCAGCCTTTCCATAGATCACAATCTAAGTAATTATATCTATTTTTTTTAATTTGCAAATATTTTTAACTGTTAGATTTTCTTGGGATTGTGGCAGTAGGTATATATTTGACATGTGGCAACTTATACTCAAGTAGTCCTGCAGTTACAAGAGATATGTCAATGCTTAGTATATAAATTAATGAAGTTACGCATTTTCTTATCTGATGCTCTATGTGCACTTACTCTCTCTGCAAACTTAAAGGTATTCATATTTTTTTTTTTTAAGATAAATTTTATAAAATAAACACCATTGTTGAAAATTTTGTTGTTAGAATAGACTAAAGAATAAGAAATGTATGTTCTTTGTTTTTCCAGATGCTATCATTTGACCTAATACATGATGTTTTTGGTGATTTATTGCTTTTGAATGTGAGACTATGACTTCATTTAATGGTTGTCACATGTATGGTTGATCTATGCTTTAAATGATTTTCTTTTTTTAAGTATATATATTCTGATGTGTTGTTTGTGAAAATCTGTTTTCATATTTTTTAATTATTTTTTTTTTTTTAAATTGAAGTTATAGAAGAGAGATATTATTCGGTTTTTTACATCTTGATTAATGGTTTCAGCCTTTGTATAATTGACGTTTTCTGTTTTTCCTAATCAAGGACGACACCGATATTTAGTCTGTCCTGTAGTGGTTTTACTAAATGATATTTTCTGGTGCACTTTTAATCATCTTACGTTATGACCATATTTAACGGCCATCACAATTTAGCATGTATTATGCTTTTATATGATGATGTTTCCCTTTAACTTGAATTTTTTTTGTTGTAAAACAGTATGCTTTTGGGGTGCTACTTAATGATTCATTCAGGTTTCATATGTTTTTCAGAATTCGAGGGCTTATGAACATGGCATGGGTATTGATCTATAAGAAATGAAAATATACTTAACATTCATATTGTTTGTTTGTTGTCTTTGTTTGTGTTTGT